TTAGGTAGGGGGTGGAGTCCTGGGGGGCAGTTAGGGGCAGGGGTCCCAGGAGGGGGGGAGGGTTGGGGGTTCTGAGGGAGCAGGAAGTGGGAGGGAGTGGAAGGGGCAGGGGCGGGGCTAGGGCAGGACAGGGGCGGGGCTCCTCCCGTCCTTTTTTTTTGATTGTTGAAATATGGTAACCCTACATGATTGCCAAACAATTAATAACGCAGTCGCCTGAGAACACGGTATAAAACACTTACTGCCTGGGGGAGGGACGCTACAGAAACCAGTGTTGTCCCCTCTTCACAGAACTAATCACAGCATTCTCTTTTCTTTCCACATCGACTGCTGAAGACATCAGGGTGCATGCGATTGAAAAAGAATTAAGGACTTTAGCAAACTACATGAAGAAACCCACTGGAAGCATGACCATTGCACCATATGGGTGAGTACAGTATACAAACTATGTCCAGCTCCTCCTCTCCCAGATCAGGCGCTTCCCATCACTGTCTGTACAGCCTCACATGCCCGAGGAGTGTGTCTGTGGGGAGCTCTGGTTTTTGGGAGAGGTAGGTCAGATATACAGCCTCCCAATCCCAGCAGCGGGTCCTCAAAACTCTTCTCCTGTCACTTGGTGGTGGTACAGCCCCTGCTTTGAGGCTCTCTTCCCTCCTACCCTCTCTAGACCCATGCTCTGTTCCTTCTTCCCCAAAAGGAGACTTCTGCGTTTGGAATTGGACCTGAGACAGGTGGTGTTTGAAGGGGAGAGCGAGACTTTTGGGACGAGTACAGTGCGGGCGACTGTTTTGAAGATAGGGCCCAGCAAAGCCTCTCAGGATCTGCACTTCATGTCTGAACTGGAGGTGAGTGCAGGTGTGCCGGGGTCACAGAGCCATGACCATAGAGTTCAAGGCCAGAAGGCACCACCAGATCATCTAGTCTGACTTCCTGTACAGTACAGGCCACCAACACCTGCCCAGTAAACCCAACAACTGAAACGAGACCCAAGTATTACAGCCTAAAGGAGACTAACCTATTGTGTGCCACAGGCAGAGAACAGCAGGGACCGAGGTGCCCGAATGCCTGCGGACAGCAGGGAAATGATGAAGTCAGATACACTCAAATGATCCTGGCAAGCGACCCGCGCCCCCTACTGCAGAGACGGGTGAAAAGCTCTCCAGGTCACTGCCCATCTGAGCTGGGGGACAGTTCCTTCTCAACCCCCGTATGGCAGTGATCAGTTAGACCCTGAGCATGTGAGCAAGAACCAGCCAGCCAAGCACCCGAGAGAGAGAACACTCAGGATCACCTCAGCACACCGGCCACCCCCATTCAATGTCCCACCTCTGAGGCTTCAGAGGAAGGAGACAAAAAATGACCTGTGGATAAGGGGAAACCCTCCCTCCAGATGCCTTCCAGTGACCACCAGTTGAAGCCCTGAAGCATGAGGGCTTCAGCTTTATTTTACATAAGAACAACCAGCACATATGCCATCTCAGCCATTCCTTCCCCCAAATTCAGGGGGTATCTGTTCCCTACAGGTCTCTTACCTGAGAGTCATGCCCTGCTCCAGAGCTTCCCACAGGAGTACATCTGCTCCTTGTAGCTTTTCCTGATGGCTCCATACCCAGCTGGCCTGCCTGCTGGCTTCTAGAATCGCCTCATCCTTAGCTGATCATCACAGGCTGGGTCCTGCTCCCTTTAATGGCCCAGCCATCCAGGGACAGACTGAAATTACCTGCAGGGCCTAAAGCAGTGTCCGTGCTAAGTGCCTCGAGCAGGGACCCCAGACCAACCGGAGCGTTTGCAGAACCTCTTGATGCACTTGGCATGTTTCCAGGTGATGCCTTGTTCTCTGTGGAACCTTTCCAGGTCATGGTCCTGGGTTGGTCTTTGCAGCATTACAGTTTGCAATGTAGAGGGGACCTGACTCCTTCCCATAACCAGGGTAACCTGGGAGGTGTCTGGTTACAGCGTGTAGTTAAAGGGATACTCTCACCCCGAAAAAATCAGACTTCTGTTCTTTGTACTGATTGCCAGGGAAATCTCCTCTTCACTCTGGTTTCACTTTCTTCCCTTGGCGCCTTGGGCAGCCCTTGGTGGAGGCCCATGCTCCGACTAGTTGCACTTCCTGTCTCATGAGGGTGATCAGAGGAGCCCCCTGCCCTCACTCCCGAGGAGAGGTCGCTGGCAGGCTGTGCCGTGGGCCCTGCCAGAGGGCTGCGCACCCCTGTGAGGGTAGCCAGGAGGGAATCTCCTTTCCTTGAGACTCCACCATGAGGAGCTCGGCTCCGCCCTTCTGGCATGAGGCTGGGGAACAGCGGGAGGCAGGGGAGGCAGAGAATCCGCCTTTAGAGCCAGGGCCAGCTCCAGGCACCAGCCTAGCAAGCATGTGCCTGGGCCGGCCAATGAAGAAGGGGGGGACACGTCCAGCCATTCGGCGGCGGGGCCGTCACACCCTCTTGCCGCCGTAGAATGAAGCGGCGGTAGAGCTGCCGCTGCTTGCAATCGCGGCTTTTTTTTTTCCTGCTTGGTGCGGCAAAAATGCTAGACTGGCCCTGTTTAGAGCCCAGGGAGGAGCGTCGAAGTTGTGAGGCTTCATCTCGGTCCTGCTGTTGAAGGGAGGGAGCAGCAGGGAGCCGCCAACCCGGCTAAACGACTGGAATAGAAACGTTCTTACCTCAAGTTGCCGGCGTCCCTTTAACACCCAGTCCGGTGCCGTCCACACTACAAACCAGAGCAGTGATGCGTGTGGGTCCCTGGCCTGGGCATCAGATCCTCAGCGGGGGTAAATCAGCGTAGCTCTGGTGATGCGATTTACCCCAGCGGGTGTTGTGGTGCGTGTGTAGCCAGAGCCCGAGGCTTTCCCTAGCGCCCTGTGCCTGGGCAGCCTCACCGCGTGCGCCGGCCACTCTGAGGGCTCTGCTGGGCTTTGTTTTGCAGGTGGGCAGAGAGGTCCATGGCTTTGAGGTGAATCTGCCCAAGATCCTCTTTGCACAGGTGAGGGGCAGGCGGAGGAACGCTGAGGAGCGAGTGGTCCTGATGGATCTCAACAACAAGGCCCTTTTCCAGGTAAGGGCTGGGCCCTGGGCTGGGAATGAATTTGGGGGCTAATAGTGCTGGGCAGCGCTGGGCCAGGTTTGGTTGGGAGCAGCTGCTGCGAATGGCGATGATGCAGGCTGTGCACAGCTCTGCCAGGGCAGCTCGAGAGCATCCCCGCTGCTGGTCCTGCCCTGCTCCCTCGGTCTGCCGGTCCGTGGGAAATCGAACCTGCCGCGCAACCTCCTGCTCAGCCAGGTTTGGGCTGGCACCCAGCTCTGACCCCCGACTCACAGCACCCCCTCTATGCCAGCCCTGCCAATGCCCCTCCCCCGACTCACAGCACCCCTTGCTGTGCCAGCCCTGCCAATGCCCCTCCCCCGATTCACCGCCCCCATTGCTATTCCAGCACTTCCAATGCCCCTAA